CATCCGGTCTCACTCTGCAACACCACAGCTACAAAATATCATTAAAAATTCTTGTATTTACACTTGGTTGGTTCTGTGTAAATATATAGCTGCATCAGAGTGTTTGTCATTGGGATGTAAATGGTATGCAACATTACAAATGTTGTTTAAAGACATCTTTTTTCAGCATGAACTCGTTAAATTGTTCAAAAGTGACAGCAAAGACATTTATACTCTTACAAAAGATTTCTATTTCAAATAAACGCTGTTCTTTTGAACTTTATATTCATCAAAGAATCCTGAAAAAACTGTATCAAGGTTTCCACAAAAAATATGAAGCAGTCTTCAACTGCTGAACTGGATGCTTCAACTGTTTTCAACACTGATAATAAGTGATGTATCTTGAGCACCAAATCAGCATATTAGAATGATTACTGAATGATCACGGGACGCTGAAGACTGGAGTAATTGCTGCTGAAATTTGAGCTTTGCCATCATATTTTTTTATTTCAAAATATTATTGTTTTTACTGTATTCTCTATTTTCGATCAAATACATGCAGTTTTGGTGGACATATGAGATTTCTACCACCTGAAAATTTTTGATATAAAATCAATAAAAATAATTGCATTTACAGTAAGTGATAAAAGTCTGAAGGACAGTTTATTTACTGCAGCTTTCTGTCCTCATGTTAAATTAAGACTAAGATAAAGGAAACACTCGAGTGTTTGTTGCTGATATATGGCCAATGTAAGATGAGCTGCTCAAACATGATTTGCTTAACAATGAATCTTTATGCTGAATACTATAAAAAAGCAATACAAGTTTTTCAGTTAGTGTTTTCAGCTTGTTCATATAAAAATACGGCATGCATTGGCTTCAAACAATGGTATAAACATCATTCAATGTAAATTGTGATAATAGTATAATAATCGAACTTACAATTTCAAGGGAATAATCGACAATTATGATTTTTGTCATAATCGTGCAGCCCTATGGTGAAGGGAGACAAAGCTTTTTAAAAAAGGCAGCAAAAGTCATCACTGCCCAGAAAGAACAGCATGATGGAGCTACAGCCAAAATTAACAGCGTGAGGCAGACAGAAAAAGATATTTGCCAGCACTCCACCCATTCTGTTGTTCTTTGCTCCATCACTCTTACCCAACCCCAGACAAAGACCCTCACCCAACTTGCTAGATGATGTAAGACTTGGGCAGGCTCCGAAAAAAAACAAACAGCTGCTCCAATTACCTGGAAATATCCCATGGGGCGTAGACACATATGAACCAAAAGCACACGCAAACAAAGAGGAGAGACACCCACATCACGCACGCACACGTCCACAGTTTTGCTTGAGTTTTTAATCAATGTACTGAGAGTAGCAAAGCTTCTGACCACTCAGTGACATATCAATGTCTGTATTTTCGGCGTACCCTGTATCTCTCAGCATATAAATCAAAATAACATCCCTTTAGAGCCCTGACAGGTGTGTCTAGACTGTGTCTACACAGTAGAGTGATCAAATATCAGAAAAACCAGATATACATCTGTCTAGGGTGATGGTAGCTTAATGATTAAGTCATTGCTAGTTAAAACATTGCAGATTGGATTGCAGGAAGGAGAGACCTGTGAGGGTTGCTAAAAGAGCCCTATCAATGTTACGCCCTTGAGGAAGGCAAAAGAATCTGCTAAATTACAAACAAGCGCATCTGTCTGAGGACGATGAGTTAAATGATGCATGCTCTGACTTTCCCATACCAGAAAATGGCAATACACAGTACTGTCTACAGCAGTGTAATCAATTCAGGACATCAATTTACCAACCCTGACAGAAATGAGTACTGTAAGTTATTCCAGCACTGTGGTCTCAGTGTGGATAAATCATACCAGAACAATGCAGCAAAATGTCTAGAATAACCTTCATCTTGTCCCATTTAAAGTCGTGATATAATGGAAGTAGTAGCAGATATGTTTTTCTTCTTCTTTTTTTTTTACATATTGTTAAGTAGATTCAAGTGAAATGGATTATCAAAAAAAGGAAACAAATATGGGGTGGGGCTTGGTTATAGTGCATTGGTTGTTGATTGGATGGAGACAAATCTGAATCATGCATGCGGCCTATCGCAAGAATGCTGACTAAATGATTGGAGAAGTCGGGCAAAAATTATTAGAGCGAAATCTTTTGTTTCACAGGAAGATTGAGTTATGACAGATTATGAGGTCAAAAATAAGATTATGAGATCAAAACTAAAAATAAACATGCATGGATTTACTGTTCACAGTAAGAACATTAAGTTGCATTAAGAAAATAGCTAGGGTGAATTTCCATTTCAAGCTGACTTTAAAATATTAATATTAAATTAAAAAAGTCTTTGATTTTAGGTTTTGAGCTGTTACGCAAAGCATTTTTAATTAATAAAAAAAATGAATCACAGATTATCTGGTTGTATCTCAAACAAGATAAGATCCTCCATTGTAAAATTTCTACACTTAATACTGTCTTACAGGATTCTATACAAGGTCCTTGTGTAAATCCTACATGACTCTGCACATCATCCAAAACACACGGTGCCTCTTCTGTGTATACATGTGCAGCCCACAGTGAGAGTGGGCGAAGAAGCTGTGTTTGGAGCGTAAACGTCACTCGGAGGCTCATGCCAGATGGAGGTGGACACTCCTTTCCGCCACGTTATTTCACACCCTCAGACTTTAACTCAGTTATGCCTTTACATTAGCCCTAAAAAGTTTCATTTCCTTAAAGATAATGCTTTTTATATCAGTTTAGTGATTAAAGTGAAACATATAAACCAGAGTGACAACATAGTTCTAATCCGTTTTCAGCTTCTCTACTAAAATTGTTCTCACAAATTTGTTTTAATTCAGGCGTAGTATAGAGGAAATCAATTTTGTATAATTCTGAGAATAAACAAAATGGTTTTAAACATAATCCCAACATATTTTGTTTTATACCAGTATTTAAAATCCTTATGCCACTTCTATAATTAGAGACTGTAAGTTGCCCCTATCACATCTGAAAGAGGCGAGAAGATCCTCTTAACCCCAACACGTATACTGTCTGTTTACATTGAACACCACAAACACCCTAAACCTGTGGTTCTCAACCACAGGGCCAGGGCCCAGTTGGGTGTTAAAATAAGCTTTAAAATGAGCAAAAACAAGGTTTAAAATATGCTATAACAACTAAAATCAAGATTTTATTTTATTTTATTTTAAGAAATCCCTGCAACAAGTTTTTTTTTTTGAAGAACCAGAGTTCTCACTGTCTAGAAAAACCTGGATATGAAGGGATATGAAAGAGTCTAATTAGTAGAATCTTATGAAATCTCTCTCTCTCTTTTAAATAAGGAATATACATTTTCAAGTTATGTCAAACTCTAAAATATTTTATTGGGTAGAAAGTGTGGGTAAAAAAAGAGAAATATTTTTAAAAAGTCTTTGTCCTTAATACTTATACTATAAATCACGAAAGACTGGAAAAAAACATGGTGTCTCTGAATATTGCTGTGGAAAGTGGGGGGTCTTGGAGCCAAAAAGGTTGACAACCACTTCCCTAAATGGCATCTGTCAAAGAGCAGCTGAGAGCAAAATAAAAAATAAAAACCTTTTATGTCCATACAAATGAAACTCTTATGGGACATGAGGGTGTCTAAATTACGACAGAATTTTAATTTTAGGTTAAATGTTCCTATAAGAGGGTTTTGAACTATAAATGATTGAAACCAGCACGGATGACCACTGTTAAAGAAAACACACATTTGCATAATTGTGCTTTTGACTCAAACCTTGTAATAACTGGGACAGAGCTTTTGTGATCAATTTCCCGTGTGACAACTAGCCCCTACAGTCCAGCTGGCGATTTTGTGGACACATGGGTGGAGACTGTAATCTCAGCGGTGCGCTTGTGTGTTTTTAACAAACAAAGAGCCCTCGGGTCCAGTCCGGAATAGACACCACGTCATTCCTGCTCCCATCTCACTGCGCACCACTCCATTAAAACACTTTTGCAACATGGCGACGTTCACAAACGCTCACAATTGAATGAATCACTACATAAACAACATAGGCTTATTGATTTTGGTTATATAGTCTTGAATTAAGAAGCTCAACAAGCACTGTCCAAAACCACACATCACAAATTAGTGCTATCTTAACCAGGTCAGGTGTATCCATAATGCGTAATATTCATATTTCACGCGTGTCGGGATGGCTCAGGCCTGCGCTATACTCACCGTACGCCGCGCGTATTTCAGTGATCTCAGTCATTTTTAGGGTTGGGCGCAATAACAGCCGTGGAATAAACAATAAATGTCGACGGTCCTTCGTTTAGCTGATATAATGTAGATGATTCATGGCTACATCTCTACGGTACGCGGTGTCCTCGTGTCTGGTCCGATCCAGGCCGTTGTCGGATGCTGAGCGTCGGGATACACTGCGTCAGGTCGGGAGTCTGACCGTATGTACCGCCCACCAGCAGCGCGCATCTCATAGACAGCATCCAAACACCTTACCGTCCTGTATTTTCCAGCAATTTCAGATCCGCAGAGCTACATAAAGTACGTTTCTCATAAGACTTTGTTTAAAAAAATAAAATTAGAAGTTTAGATATTGGGATTGCAAGGTGTCTAAAATTTTAATGTGTGCAAAAAACAGAAGAAATACATTTTATCAATATGTCATGATCCTTCTGAAAATAGATTTTGTAATAGTTTAAACCATCATTCTAGCCTGTCTTTTTAAATGTATTTATTTTTTTTATAAATAGCTCAGGACAATGTATAATTTAAATGATCACATGCAATTAGAAAACAGAAAACCCATATGTGAATATGCATACTTCTATACTAAACAGTATGCAAAAAGTTAAATACCTAATGGTCATGAACGAGAAAACTGCAGGGGCTTCATGAGTTGATGAAAAGCTAATAATTAAATCCTAAAATTGTAAAATTAAAATAATTAAAAATCAAAACAATCCAAATAACTTACTAAAAAGGGTTTGATATTTTATTTGTTTACTTGCATGTCGTGTGACCATTAACTGCTATAACAGAAAACCGTGAACAAGCAAATGTGTTCTTAAATAATTGAAATATTAACCTACAATCTCAGAGGGTACTTCAAGTAAATATTTCAGGTTAAACGGGTTCATCTCACAAAAATTTCAAAAAATTCCTGACCTCTTAGATTGTGAACTAAGCAACCCATGGACCCTTTGCTATCCCATAAGGCCAGAGGGGTGCTATAAGTACCAAGAAAAGTTTTTCCCAATGATTGTTATGTTATGCCAGGTGTATCTTTCAGCAGATGAATGCTTAATGAATTTAGGATATTAATATTTTTATTTTGTAGTGACTGCTGTATGGAAGCAATAAATGCATGCTGTATTCTGAATATAGTCACAGCTAAAGCAGTGCTGGTTAAGGGTCCTGGAAATTAATTTTGGAAACCCATCTCTTGGAGGCATCCTGCCTAACTCCCCCCTTTTGTCATGAACATATTCACAATATAGCACATCCTCTCACAGAATCCTTAAATTACCGTAAATACAATTCGTAATATATAAAGCTTAAACATGTCAGGCAACCCATGTCTAAAATGCAAGGCTGTGTATGAGTGAATGCACTACTTGAAATAACCACTAGGTGTCCTCACTTCTGTCTCAGTGTCACGGCTTATTAAGGTTTCAGCATGAATGTAAGTGTCAAGACAGTTTTGGCACATAGCTCAGCACTGACTGTTTAATAACCATCATGTATAGCCTAGCAGACAAAAATCCCAACTTTTATCTCTGCGTCACTTAATTATAAACTATTATGGTATTCATAAGTCGATTGTCATTAAAACTGCAGATTCTTTGATCTCACTTGAGTCTTTGGTCTCGTTTCAAGATTTGTCAGATAAAATGTACTGGCTTGTATTATACAGCACATTTTCTATCCTCTCTGTTAGCTGGTTTTAAATGCATTTGTTCCTGGACGTCCTGTCTGCACTCAGCATTCCGATAAGCTGCCACTAAAGGAACTAAGATAAGTCAGAGCTTTAACACTCAGAGACCGAGCAGAACTGCAATGTTCGTATAAAGCAATTAATAATACCCAATTTTAAAAAAATGTAAGAGAAAAAAAAACATAACAGTAGATAACACTGAAATTAATATATTGAATGTACATAAATTTGAAACCATACTTAAATTGGTGACCATTCAATTAATAGTACAAAATATATTCAATTATATTAAACTGGCATTACATTACTGCACACTTTGATGTAAATATTACAGTAAATTCTTTAACTTCTTAACCTCACTGGTTAAAATACATTATTTTTCAAAAACATTTGTGTGCTAGATTGTCGTCAATTCAAAACTTTCACGATGCGTTTTGAAAAATAGTAGTGAATTTTTGCAACGCTAAAAGCCCAGCATTCCATTTTTGCAACATTTTGTTTTAAATTACACCCCAATGTAAATTTTGCTAAATGAAATGGTATTTATAACTAATGGCTTCCTAAAGGATGAAAAACATAATTAATCTCAATGCTTGGGTCTCTGAGGATTAAGCATACCTGTGTTATATTTTTAGCTATATGGATCTTTCTCTCCCTCTTAACCAACATACTTTCACCTCTTTTGGACCTCCATTAGTGTGAACTCATCAGTAGGGCCTTTGGTCTGTGTTACCGTGACAACCAAGTCAACAGCACCCGAGAGTGGACTAAACACTGGTCAGTTCAGAGGCACATTGCTGGCCAAGGCTGTGGAAAGATTGTGTGTGTGAAGGCTTATGTGTGTATGTGGTACTATGAGTCACTGTTTGCCTGCGAAGGTGTATGTGTCTCTCTCTTTCTCTCCGTCGGTCATCCTCGCTGTTTTTGTGACAGGGCTTGAATATTTTGCAGTCTGTGGGTCAGTTGGCAGGTCCGGGGTCAGCGAGGGGCAGGGTGTGCAGGACCTCGTCTAGCAGCTGCAGGGCACGGTGTAGATGAACTTCCACCCAGCACGGTGTCTGTTTGATGGTCTGTCGAGGGTAGTCCGGTCCCCAGCCCTTTACAAAACTAAGCCGCAGGATACACAAACACCGCAGGTCATCAACACCTATCCCAGCTGCCGCAGACAGACCTGTGAAAATGTATAAGGAAGAGTGTGTATTACAGGAAGCAAGTAAGTTTATTTCAAGACTAGGGCTGGATTCTGATTCACTAGTTCATGATTCGATTCAGATTCTTTTGGGAATATTTCCATGATAGTGCTAATTTTGCTGACATATGACGAAAATTCTTTCTCCGTTATAAATTGTAACCTTCCAGCTTGGTACAATTAAAAAAAAAAAAAAAAAAAGATTAATTTTAATTACCAACAGAGTCCAAACTATGCAGTTCAACTGCAATTTGAGGGTCTTTTTAATATTTTTTTCTTTTTTAATGTGTCACGCGTTTCCACATTTGACTGCCTTTTCACACTGGGCTGTTTGTCTGTTTTATCTTGTATAAATGTGTTTTTACGTCATGAATTTCAACTGGACAATTCATTTTTGCGATTCCCGTTGGTCTGCAGAGGTGGTGTGCCACGCTATGCTGCTTGTTATGGTCTTTCATCCGGCCTACCTGAACCCGCTGACCTGGCGGTGTTTGTGGTGTGGACGCCGTGGACGGGGTGTCTGCTTCACTGACGGGAGTGTTTTGTGGCATGGTGGACATCGTCAAGTTTTCCTGCTTGGCGTTTGGGGTCTGCTCTGTACTCGTTTGGGCTCTGTGTTTTGGACATTGTGTCATCGAGTGTTCCCGTTTGCCGCTTGAAGTCCTGGAGTTTGCACTCGTTTGGACTCTGTGGCATTCGAGGCCACAGAAGTTGTTTGAGGTTGTGTTCATGTTTTGCGCTCAAGCGCTTTGAGCTCAGGAACAGCGCTATATAAATGTAACATTATTATTATTATTATTATCTTTATTCATTAAAAGGACCACTTCAAAAGAGTCAATAGTTTGTGAATAGGACTACACTGGTCGTGCTGTATGTTTTTGATTCACTACAAAGAACCAGTTCGTAAGAGTAATTTGTTCATGAATCGGACTACACTGGCCGAGCTGTAGGTTTTTGTTTCACTAAAAGAATTGCATTGGCATTATTTACTGTACACATGCTTTTCATCACATCATATTCAATTCATAGTGCAAAATTGGGTAAATTACTTCTTTTGCTGAGGGGCTTTAGAGTCAGCACACTGCTGATGAAAAGCAGTTCAGGAAAGACTGGCACCACAGTAAACAGAATGGTTGTGTTATTGAGATCGTTCAAATGTTGATCACATTTAACTGGAAAATGAATGTTTTTGGGACCAGCAACTCACTGATGGCTGGAGCGATGCCTCCAACACTGCCAGGCCCCAGGATGTTCCCAGCCACTGCTGCAGCCTGCGCAGCCACAGCTGCCTGTGCAGTCGCCGCTTGCTGCTGCATCTGCCTGTGACACTGACGAAGATCAAACACCTGGAGGAATAAACTGGGATTAGTTCACCAGCACTTGGGACAAACTGATCCAAATATTTCAGTCCTTGTCCACAACTTTATGCTTAATTTTACATATGTATGCTTGTTTCCTGAAAATAAACATGTATAATGCTGCCAAATGCATATGTTGTCTATAATGCACAAAGTTGTTGCCCTTCTGGTTTTGATGTCTGATATGATTTAATTGCAAAGAAGAAAGCAGTGCTTAGGAGTGATGTCATTAAAGGTGCACCTTAATGAGGGCTCCTGGGTAGATCTTGTGAACGGCATCCCCTGGCGCTCTCCCTGCCTCTCTGTCCAAGTAGTAACTTTGCACGAATACAGCATGGTCACTGAGGCAACGCATCCACACGTCCCCCTCCCCACGGCACTCCAGCTGAACACCTTTACCAATGTGAAGCCTGTTGGGTAGATGTCAGGTGTTCAAAAACTTGAATCTCCGGTGATGAATGAACGTGTATAATTATCATTTTGAATGCACACTGACCGTGCCCTCTCGCTGGCATCAGTTCTGTGAACATTGCTAAGCTGACCCAAACAAAAGCGGTCCCCACCCGAAGGGTCCACATATCCATCCACTGTCACCACAGGACAATTGGCTAGAACCTTAAACATCTCCCCGACCTGCACGTCCATCTCGAAGTAAGAGATTGAGCACCAGAACTCTGGGCCTGTGGCGCACAAACAAATGATACACAGATTTAACAAAGAGTGTGGTTTATGTAGATGTACAGTATGTGTGTGTAGTACCTGGATGGTTGGAGACTGGTTGAGGGTATGAGGCTGGTGTGTGATGCTGAGACCCTGATAACAGAATAAAAATAACATTAACAAATAAAAACACAATGATACGATGATAGTGAGAAGTATACATATAATAGTTTTATCATTACATAGAGACCCATCATTGTATATAATTATGATGACAAAAATCTACGTGACAATTACTAAATGCATTACATTTTATGATACATTTCGATACATATGCATTTATATATTATTTATTATATACACTACAGAAAGATCTAGTTTTTTTTGTTTGTTTTTAAAGAAATCGAATTCAGCTTTGCCAACACATGAATAGATTACATTTTAAAATAGACTATTAAAATAGAAAACAGTTACAATAAATTGTATATATTTCATAATATTACTGTTTTTACTGTGTTTTTTATTAAATAAATGCAGCCTTCATGAACATATTTCTTTCAAAAAAAAATAAAAAAATCATACTGACCCCAAAAATTTGAACAGTAGAATTTATATAAATATTATTAGCCATTTTATTTATATGAGATTAAATTATTTTACAGTGATTAACTATATTTTACAAAAACCATGTGTTGACATGACATGTAAATGTACATACAGAAGTGGCTAGTACGAGGGGGAGGGGCTTGCTGATGACTCCGCCCATTCTGCTGTGGTCCAGCAGGAGTATAGGAGGCTGTGCTGTTCCCCGTCCAGGTTGTTGCTGAGACATTTAAAAATAAACACACTTAATATGATTTTCCATTATTTTCATATATCAGTCTTTCACTGATAATGTCATATAGATGAACTGCCTTACAAACATGTAAAGTCATGATAAAATTCAAAACGGGCAATAGTGAACATATGACCCTATGTGATTTATAAAAATAACTCACTGTGGTAAGATCCCTGTGTCTGTGTGTGCTTGGAGGTGCTGTATTCACTCTGGCTGACGGAGGGCTGCTGGGACGAAGGCTGGCTGTGTGTGGGTGCATGACTATGTGTTAGGGTGGAAGGTGGAGAGCTGGAGGTCAAGGCCCGTCCTGCTGGTGAGGCGATCTGCAACAGTGCCTCAGGGTGTTCCGCCTGCATTGACAACCTGGATGCACTTGCTTTAGAAATAGTTAGACAGAGAAAGAATGAGATCAATGTGTCAGTATCTCATTATTCTAAAAACATTATTGTTTTTGAAGACAGCATGTAAAGTTAAAGTTTGTTTTTCCATTGCTAATAACACAGGGCTCAGGTAACCCCCCAACAATGTTATGCACACCCCAATTATAATCAGTCAATCAATTCATCAATATAATGAATAAAATAAATTGAATCAATAAAAAATATACACACATAATAAAAAAAAATTAAATGTCCCATAATGCAATTAGATGATTTCCAGTACGATTCATCCAATTGCATTATGAGATATATGTAATAAATTTATTATATAAATTTTTTATGTTTATACTGCTAACACTGGTTTGCTACAAAACCCCTTAGTCCATGCTTTGCTGTACATACAGGCTGGAGAGAGGGGCAGACTGGGGTAGAGTGTGACCGAGGAAGTGGTCCGCTGGGACGGCTCTGGGGACATCAGTCTCAGAGGCTGTGGGCTGTAGTGATCTGGAGGATGATGGTCTTGCTGTAAGGTCATACTTGACGGACCCGCCATCTGGATGCAGTTATGTATGTGCTCTTCTTTTATCAGCCTGCCTGAGGGATGAGAGCGAGTGTCAAAACATCTCTGAGCTCCTTTCCAAACTCCTGTTCCTTGTTTGTCTCTTTCACTGCAAGGCGAGTCCTTGCATGTCTCGATCTGACACATTTTATGGCATTCTCTGTCTGATTAAAGGCTGGCTGCCAGCAGCGTAGCGATCAGGGCCATCAGTGATTAGCCCGGATGAATGCTTGAGACATTCCTTCACATGTGGAGAAGAAATACAAGTGCTAATGTCCTCCACTATTTATTTAGAGCTTCACTCACCTGTGTTTGGCAAACTGAATCCCACTGAGAAGAAAGAAAAAAATATAGTCAAATATTCATTGCACACTTTCATTGCCGATTCTTTAACAAAATATTTCCTTGCTAAAATTATAAAAGTGATGAAAAATATTTTGTTAGTTTCATAGTTTGTGTTTTTAGTAACACGCACCAATCCCAGGGGACACCACACGCTCATAGTGGTAGGGGTTGACACACACGTTATCGTACTTCAGATCGAAAGCATACTGACAGAACTTGACATGCTTGAGTTCATTCTTGTGAAGGTCCGGCCATCGCCACAGACGAGTGTATATGACATGAGGGAAACCCTTCCGCCCAGCCACCTGAGGAGCAATCACAACACTTCATGTCAACATACAAAAATCCTCACAATACAGTAATATAACAAGGATGGATTCACAGTCATCTAAAGTGTGAAATTATTGTGTATTCTTAATTAGAGAAAAAAAAAAATTGCACAGCTTTATGGGGTTGTCAACTGTATCTGAGGCTTGCATGTTTTTTTGCTTGAAGTTACATGGGATTGAGTTATGAACACTCAGCCAAGAAAAGACCTGCTGATTTTCTACCTACTGACTTCTCTATATTCTGTTGAAATTTTTGTTGATAATTTTGATCATCTTATATTTATTTAGTGTTATTATTACTGCACTGACCGGAACATTTTTTGGAGTGCATGCACTGGTAATCGCTTATCCTCAGTATCATATTCTTTCTCCACCCTGTCCCGAGTCCTAACACCGTTCCAAAGAACTATTCTTCTCTGAGAGAAAAATTAATTTGATGATTTTGGCTCACGAGAAAGACATAACTAATGGCTTAGAAATAGATGAGCTTGTTACACTTTTTGCCAAACTAAATAGTAGACTGATGCTGTAATGTGATGTAAAACACAATTGGAAAATGTGACAGTCATGGTCTCTCATCTCTGTTTAATAGGCCTTAAGTATAAAACAAATGTGAACATTAGGGCTCAAAATAATAATTACTATTAATGTCATGATTTATTTGCAGAATGTCAAGTAAATTAGCTAAAATGTTCTTTATATACCTCTACCATTCAAATGTTTGGGGTGAGTTAGATGTTTTTGAAAGAAGTCTCTTATACGCAATAAAAATACTGAGAAATATTATTACAATTTAAAATAACTTTTTTCTACTTTAATATTTTTTTATTGTAATTTATTCCTGTGATGTTAAAGCTGAATTGTCAGCAGCCATTACTCCAGTGTTCAGTGTCACATGATACTTCAGAAATCATTCTAGTATGCTAATTTGGTGCTCAAGAAACATTTCTTATTATCAATATTGAAAACATTTGTGCTGCTTAATGTTTTTGTGGAAACAGTGATACATTTTTTTATGATTCTTTGATGAATAAAAAATTCTGAAATGTAAAAATGTAAGTGTTTTTCTTTACCGTCACTTTTGGTCAATTTAATGCATCCTTTCTGAATAAAAGTATTAATTTCTAACTGTATTAAAATCTTACTGCCCCCAAACTTCTGCATGGTGGTCTATATTTGTATACTTTTTTTCTCAGTTATATTTCGTTTTAAAGAAAATGTTTAAGAGATAAGTTTACATCATATTAATATTGTATTATACATTTAGATAACAACATTTTTAGATCATTTTAGGTCATTTTTTATTGTATCTAAAAGCAAGCTAGATCTAAATTTAGATTCAAAAGATTCTAGGAACTTTTGTTACTGCTTCACAATGCATCCATATTAAATATTAACTAGACAAGAGTAAAGAATGGTCAAACTTTCATGGATGGATGGACAGGTCTAAAGTCAGAGATTCTCTATCAGAAAGGAGACGAAGGAACACCGAAGATAAAATGTATAGAGAAACATTTGACTCTTCTGTCAGGCCATCTTCTCTAAATCATGCGCGAGTGGCAACATACTGTGACCTCATTTGCTACTGAAATGACTTACAATTCTCCAACTAGGAGACTGACCTTCCTGAGCGAGTCAAAGCGGAGACAGTCGGTGCACAGACAGAGACAGAACTGGTCCACTGCCAAACCCATTACGTTTTACAAACTCACACACAGACAGAGCACCATATTAAACTCTCAGAACTCTCTCATTTTCATAAACATCGCATTTCACCACTAACAAACCCTAATAGCTGTGCTTGACATGAAACAGAGTTCAGCTCAAATCCATACTGATGCACAGATACTTTTACAACTGGTTGCATAAATGTCCTACTTGAACACATTGCACTCATGCTTCGAATACTGACACAGTCGTCTCTCTCCCACATACACAGACTGTGAGACAGACAGGCTTAAGCTTGGCCCTGCCCCTTTCCTGTGTTTCAGACAAAACAACCCTTCCTCACCCTCCACCCGCCTCTCTCCCCGTCTACAGCTGGGGGAAGGGAAAACTCTGTCTCACTCTCCACGGACCTCTCTTCTCTCTGAAACCATGAAATGACTATTTTGGGAGAAAAGGTTTTCATACCTGGGGGAAGTCGTGGCCTAATGGTTAGAGAGTCGGACTCGTAACCCAACGGTTGCGGGTTCGGGTCTAGTACCGGCAGGGATTGTAGGTGGGGGAGTGAATGTACAGCGCTCTCTCCCACCTTCAATACCACGACTGAGGTGCCCTTGAGCAAGGCACCGAACCCCCAACTGCTCCCCAGGTGACGCAGCAAAAATGGCTGCCCACTGCTCCAGGTGTGTGTTCACTGCTGTGTGTGTGCACTTTGGATGGGATAAATGCAGAGCCCTATGGGTCACCATACTTGGCCACATGTCACTTCACTTTCACTTTTTGATGGTTATAAATGCCGCAGAGGTGAAAGTCTGCCAGATTTTTGGTCTTAAATGTGAAAACTGATCACATAACAAAATTTCACACTGTATTAGAAACCATTATACAAACCACTGCTCCGGGTGTGTGTTCACGGTGTGTGTGTGTTCACTGCTGTGTGTGTGCACTCTGGTTGGGTTAAATGCAGAGCACTAATTCCTAGTATGGGTCACCATACTTGGCCACATGTCACGTCACAGTCACAGATTATGAGATGATGTGACTATTTATTTGTCAGTAAAAGTGTTTATGCATGCTTTTTGGGTTAACTGGCTCTTTAAGTGAATCCATTTCAGTTAATTTTGTTCTTGAAAATCATTATAATGTAGATGACAAGCGCAGTCACGTCTGTCATGGAAGTGGCATGGAACCTCTAGGAAAAATTTGCGGTCTTTTTCTGTATATTGACATGTAATTAACACTGACATGCAGGAGCTTTATTTGATATTGTTTATGTTCAGATTTTATTTGAAGTGGAGAACTGGCCACATACCCTGTTTACACTATGTCAGTCACATTCAGAGAAATAATTAACACTGAAAAATGATTGGGCTTTTCCATAATAAAAGCCTATTTGTGTGTAAGATGATTCCAACAGCCTGGTATACAATATTACCCTGCTGAAAAAAAAAAACAGCATTGCTTAGCATGCAAGTTTCAGTGTTATTTTTGCACCATCTATATACTACTATAGTTCTGTCAGGATCACTATCGTCAAAGATGATTGACAATTAGCATACAGTTTAGTCTGATTCAAAGGATAATCTGAAGGCTGAATCCTGACTGACAGGGGAGGAGCTGGGGATGGAGGAGGGTAATTAGCTATTGAGCAATGCGAAAACAGCTGATAATACTGAGTTCAGTACTTGTATATGAATGCTTAGATAGGTGTCATATTCCTATAGGTAGATGGGGATCAGCTGAGAGTCAGCTGATGCGAGCTTGACTAAAGTGACCTGCCAAAATTAACGCTACGCTTGATTATTCATATTATTATTTTGAATTGGCTTTTATTTTTATTTTTTCAGCTTTCATTTTAATTTTAGTTTCAGTTTTACTAATTTTGTTGCTTGTCTCCCCACCAGGCTTCTTAACTAGCTTAACTTGCTTCCTTGGTCAACCAGCTTCATCAGAAGTCACTAACCAGTTGGCTGAATAGTGTTGGCAGCTAAGTTTCGCATGGATATGTTGGTTGACCAGCACCATACCAGCTGAATCAACATTTACAGCTAGCTAGATTTCAGCAGGGTCTTATATACTGTGAACTTTTACTCCAGATCACGCGTTGTCTGATTTTCACTAAGTGTGATTAATGTGTGTCAAAAACAGATGATGTGGGCCGGTAGTGCTCTGACCTGCAAACGTCCGTCCAGCGTTCTTTGTATGGTGACACACTTGCTTGGATGGACTCCATTTGTGGTGATAGCAGTGATGAGGGAGTCGAGCTCATCTCTTTTCTCTTTGAGTTTCTTTACCAGGCTTTCTATGGCACGTTTGGCAAAGCTCTCATTCTCTCCTCCCTGGCGGTGGCACATCAGGCTGTGAACGATGCTTAAACATGCATCACTGCTGCTGGGCGCATTCACAGACATTCTGCTTCCACTATTTTAGAAGAGAAGGAGAGAGAAAAAAAAAATGGTATATTAATGTGGCCTAGACACTTCAACATTTAAAAATGTATGAATGTAATGGCATTGGATATGAAAACAAAATCATTTGGTACTTATTTTAAAGAAAGTACAAAAGCACAGTTTTCACACAAAACATTTCACAAAAAGAGTTGATTGTCAAACTTTTCAAACATTTCATGCGTGGTAAAAATGTCAAAAAAATGTGGGGCCACTGCATAGTTTTCAAAGCAATATTGAAAAATTATACAAACACAAGAATGTATCCAACATGTCTAAGAACTGGGCATTCAGACTGGCACTGCTGCACAGGTGATATGGAGACTCTGGGATTTAATTTCAAGTAACTTAATAGGCAGTTGCACAAAAACAGACCGACGTTTTAATATGAAAATACAGAATTTAATTCAAAGTAACTATATTTGTTACTACACAAATATATTGATATGACATTCCACAACAGACGTATCCATCACCCTCAACTTAACTGGGAAACGCCGAACAGTTACTTCCTGACTCAGACACGTATTTATTCGGTTTACTCAGAGACAGTATATAGTTTACTGACACAACTATTAATTACTAAATACATAAAACACAAACAGCAAATACAAGTAAGTCAATATAAGAACTACTTACAATGCAGTTATGTGTCACATGTGCGTACTCTTCTGTGTATGTCTGCGCACGTCTGACTCGCTCGCCTACTCTCGCGCGTTTATCGAGAGACTGAAACTGAGAAGTAACTCCCCTAGCGACACAAATGCAGAGTTATTTGTCAAATAAATCAAGCACAGTAAAACTGAAATCTGAAACGGAGACAAAGACCAACGGCCACAATTATGTAACGTAATGTAAAGCAATGTAGCTAAAACACGCAAATAAATAAATAAAATAATACAGTTTTATGCAAAAGTTTGGGCACCCCTGATAATTAGGCTATCATAATTTTAATTTATAATCTGCTAGGCTTTCGAAGCAGCAACTTCATTTGGATATAATTTATACAGTAACATTTCAATTTGGAAATAACATTTATTGAATCAACAGAAACAATGCAATGTGAATAATAACAACAACGGACAGGTGCATAAATTTGGGCACCCCAGTGGAATAATGACATCAATATTTACTATAGGCACCTTTTGCTAAAATGGACACTTCTTATTGTCACTGATAAGTCTCTGAATTCTGCTGACTGCAGGTATTTTTACTATTCTTCCTTGCAAAATGTCTGCTGGTTTGATGGCTGCCGAACATGGACAGCCTGCTTCAAATCAATCCATAGATTTTCAGTGATATTCAAGTCTGGGGACTGGGATGGCCATTGTAGAACAGTGTATCTGTCTGTGCATGAATTCCTTTGTAGATTTGGAGCAATGCTTTGGGTCAGTCAACCCCGGCATAACTTCAAGCTCTTGACAGAATCTTGATCATTGTTATTAAGAATCTGCTTATACTGATACCATGTGACCCTCAACTCTGACAAGGTTTCCAGTACCTGTGCCTGCCACACAGCCCTAGACTCTCCACCAAATTTAACAGTAGGGAGCAGGTTCTTCTTTTCTGCCATGCAAAGCGCTTCTGGTTGTGACAACTCGGATGAAACAAGTTTGAAACAAGTTTCATCTGTCCATAGGACATTCCAAAATAATTCAGGTTTGTCCAGATGAGCTTTTGCATACCTCTAACAACTATGCTTGTTGGCAGTGCAGAAAAGTATTTTTCCACATCACCTTTCCATTGAGCTGTTTTTTGTGCAAAATGCGCTGGACTGTGGAACGATGTACAATGACATTATCAGCAGACAGATGTTCTTGGAGCTCTTTGGAGGTGGTCTGTGACCATTCTAACCATTCTTCGCCTTTGCTTTTCAGGTATTTTTCTCAGCCTACCACATCTTTCCTTGACAATGACTGTTCCTGTGGCCTTCCATTTTTTAAATATATCTCTGACTGTGGAGGCAGAGACCTTAAACCTTTGTGAACATTTTTGTATCCGTCTCCTAATTCATATTGACAAATTATCCTAGTTTTTAGGTCATTGGGGAGTTCTTCTGAGATTTGCATATTGCTACTTTTCAGTAGCGAACCAAAGGAAAAACGCAATTATCTACCTTAAATATAATTTTCCATGATGGGTTGCACCTGAGTTTGCAGTGTTAAGGTTCACTGAGCCAATCAAATCAATATTGTGTTGTAATCAATCAGCAATAAGTGACCACAGGTATTACAATAAAAACAATTGAAAGGGTGCCCACTTTTACGCAGCCTATTTTTTTTTTACCTTTGATTTTATTTCATATAGCTCAATACTGCTACACTAAGAATTTCTGTTTGGAAAACACCACATTATGCAGTTTTCTCTAGAAAATAAATAGTATATCACTACAATCTTTACTTATAAAGAAAGAGCTAATTATTATGAAGCCTCAGAGGGGTACCCAAATGTTTGCATAAAACTGTAAATCGGTGTGCAAGAAAATAAAAATGGTAAAACTTTGTGAAAAAGAATAGTGTGCGATGACGACATTTTTAGTTGCTGCTCGAAATCATTTAAAGTTCTGTAGAACGCAAGTAAAAGTGAAATAAGTAACAAGAACTAACCCTGCTCAAAAACCAGGCTGGCGCTCAGCTGGTTTATCTGGTCGTTCAACTCACTGGTACAGCAGCCATCTAAGCCATTTTAGATTTAATTCAAGATTATTTAAACCCATTTAGATTTCATCTTAGTTTTGATTAATAATACTACGGATCAACAAGAAACCCTTACCTGGGGCTTTTTGATTTTCATTTGATGAAAATTTTTTCTTTTTTTATATTCAATTAAATATGATACATATCAGATGGGCCTAAATGTTTCTCTTGAGGCTTAAACATCTAACACTACTCTAAGAGTTAAATAAAAACGTTATACAATGATTATACAAAGACGTTATACAAAAATAAATATTATCCAGATCATATTTTAATAATAAATACAAAACAAAAACACACAGATTGTAGTGTCCATGTGCCGCTATGTCCGGTAGAGGGCGGTAAACTATTCGGCGTCTTCTCCTCGACCTCCTTGGCTCCTTCCCTCGGTGTTTTTACACATAGAAAAGGCAAAAAAAAACATATTGCATTGTCCAGTTTTCTCTCAGAACGATGATCTGAGTTACTATTGCAATTATCGATGCAGTATGAATGACATACACTGGTGACATTTTTCACAATCACGGCAAACAATCAAATACTGCCCTAAACTCAATAGCGGAAAGGCAGCGCTATCCTGCAAATATGGCGGATAAACAAAGCAGTTTCCCAGAACTCAACGCGGCGTTACGTCACATTCTCATTCTTTATAGGTAAATAACGAGGAGAATAACATGCAGTAAACGGTAAAACTGTTTGCACTGCAAACCAGTGTGTTCATAATTAAGATAATACATTAAAATAATATAAGACACACCAACTTTCAATATCAAGTAGCAAAACGAACTGTTTTGTTCAGCTAAAAATAGCTGGACGGAGTGGAAGCAGATGAGACCGGAAGCCAGACCCATAGAATTTACAAATGGCCGCGCCCATTTTTACAAGAAAAAGGTGGATACACTTAGAATTAGGACTGTGTAGGGTAAAGTTAGATGTCAACACTAATTTGACTTCTCATTCTACCATTTTAGCATTGGTTTGACTGAAAGTCTGACGTTTACACCGCAAGCTGGATGTGAAAATGAATCCTCTGGATCCCCAAAAGATCATTCTGAACAGCACATGCACCGTCTCTCTGCATGACCGGTGAGAATTAGTCTTGCAGTCTTACTATTGTCTAAACCTTTGTTTACAGTGCAACCACTGTGATATTGTGGTCTGCTTTAAATCTCTGTAGTCTTGTTCTCCTCCCTGAAGCTTGACCAGTTTGTTGAAGCATCAGCCAGCAGATGTGATGGACATCACAGCCGCAGTGAACCAGCAGACTGCAGCCTCACTGAAGAACCAGCGTCTGGCTCTGGAAATGGCCAACAGACCTTCTGTGCTGGCCGCCCTAAATAACACATCTGTCAGGCACATTCTGTTTATCAAAATACAAAACTCTCAGAGCCGATGTTCTCTGATAGCAGACTAAATAGTTTCTGTGACTCTTCCTCTCTGCAGAATATAAATAATCAACTGTGCAAAGTGAGCGTGAAGGCAAGACTCGGCCATCCCATGGTGAGAGTGGGCATGATGGGATTGTGGGGGCAAATGAGAGGAGAGGAGGCGGCGGCAGCAGAAGAAGAGGATTAGTCAAAGGATTTTACACAAGGAGAAGTGACTGAGTAGATGAGATTAACATCAGCATTACATTAAATCGCATGTACATCCATGTATGTGTGTTTCGGTGTGCAGGCATAAGTAGTCTGCAAGGGGTAGTCTCCTCTCTAGGTGTTCAGAAGGGGTGGGGCCAGCAACAGTGTGGAGGAAATGTGATTTGGACTGGACCAATGGGAAGCAGAGGGGGAGGAGCCATTACAAAGACAGGTGAGAACATGGAGGTCTATAATACCTATCCCAATAACCACACTTAACGGTCTTTGCACTTGACCACTTGTTTACTTACATGACATATTTCCTGTATTTGGTCTAAGTGTTCAAGTGGCCATGAAGAGTGAAGACCGCAAGCGTGCGGAGAACACACTCACACTGCTATTTTCAATACGTTGCACTTTAAAATAATCTTCTAAATGTCTGTTCAGTAGTTCCTATGTGACAGATTACAATTTAATTGTGGTGGTTCTAAATAAGGGATAAAAGCAGTTGCAAATGTTTTACAAAATACACCTACTCATCTCGGTACCAATAAAATGTGCAACACTTTACTAATTAATTCTAGTTAAAATATAATTAATTTAACTTGCACTAGCATTTTTCTTGATATCGCACTATTGCTGGGTACCTGAGTTCAATGCTTGGCCCCAGAAGTATGCAACTTGCATGCTGCCATCTTTGCGTCTCTAAAACATTAATTGTGAATAATTACTTTCATGCCGACAAAAATAACACCCTGAAAACCCCATTGCTCGATTTTACACTGAAATTGTCATTTTTGAGACTGAAATGATTAGGGAATTTGTTAAAAATGAACTTCAGCAACTCTTTCCTAATGTTTGGATTCTTCAGAAGGAAATGCAGAGTCCGGGAGCAGCACAAGGTTTGGCAAACTTACTAGCTCTTCTGTTGTTTAAATAGTAGTTTTTATCCAGCACATTTAACTGTTTTGTAACTGGGAAGGCCAAGTTTCTGATCAGCTGATTAAGTGTTGTTGATGTGTAAATCTGTGTGGTCAATGTTAATATTTTTGGTAAATATGTGTGGCATTATGGACAAAAATAAAAAAAAAGGTTCATTGGTACATTGTGCTATATTAGTACAGTGATTTAAAAAAAGTTCAAAAGGTTAAGGTCAATTTGATCCCTTATGATCTAACCCCTTTGAATTTTAGTTTATTTTTGATTAATCTTTTATGCACTAATCATACACTGGTTTATTCAGCGAATTACTCTGATGAAAAAGCCAGCAACATTCACTGAAATATATGCCAGATAGCTTTAGAATTGCCTACGTATTTGATTAAATGTATGAATGTAGTTCCATTTGCTTTTTGGATGTTGACATGTTCAGTGCATTCAGTGAGCATCAGAAAAGATTGCAGTAATTTACCTGGTTATGGAAACACTTTAAACAAATGGGCTCTGTTCCATTTCTTTTCA